CAGGTGGAGGGAGGTGATCCTGCCCCTCTCCTCAGCCCTGGTGAGGCCTCACCTGGAGTCCTGTGTCCAGTTCTGGGCTCCCCAGTCCAAGAGAGACACGGCACTACTAGAGAGAGTCCAGCGGAGGGCTACCAAGATGATGAGGGGACTGGAGCATCTCTCCTCTGAAGAAAGGCTGCGAGAACTGGGCCTGTTCTGTCTGGAGAAGAGAAGACTGAGAGGCGATCTGATCCATGTGTACAAGTATCTGAAGGGAGGGTGTCGAGAGGATGGGGCCAGCCTCTTCTCGGTGGTGCCCAGCAACAGGACAAGAGGCAACGGGCACAAACTGAACCACAGGCAGTTCCATCTGAACCTGAGGAAAAACTTCTTCACTGTGAGGGTGACAGAGCATTGGAACAGGTTGCCCAGAGAGGTAGTGGAGTCTCCTTCCCTGGAGATATTCAAAACCCGTCTGGACGTGATCCTGGGAAATATGCTGTAGAGGCCCCTGCTTGATCAGGGAGGTTGGACTGGATGATCTCCAGAGGTCTCTTTCAACCTCAACCGTTCTCTGATTCTGAATGGCAGTGGGAGAAGGGTGGGAGTGAAACAGCCTTCCTGCACAGCAATTCTCCCTTGCTCCCCGGACTGAAAACCCAGTGGATTTCGATAGGAACTGAAAGAAGCTTTTAAAGAGCCAGTCTAGATGTGTGTTGGTGTAGGAGTAAAATCCCCATCCCCAGGAGAATACAACGAAATCCTTTGGCAGGAAAAATCCTACCTCAAGAAAGTGCTTATTTTGGACAACTGAAGGTCAGGGGCTAGTGTTTACTTCTTTAATTTGTGATGTAGCATGCAAGCTTCTTGTCCAATAAAAGATGATCTCTACTCCTCTCTCTGTGGTCTATCAGATCTGAAGAAGATACTATTACCTCCCCATATCAAGAGCAAAGATCATGATGTCCATCCCCATCCCCAATCACTAACAATTGCATATTTAAAAGACACCACCTTCTAGAAATAGAACTGGATTAAAACCAGGACAGCTGAGTGGAAGGGAAGGACAGTTACAGGACTGCAACTCTTTCCAAAACAGAGTATGTCTTGTTGCAATGAAGTGTTCCTGAGCACATGTCAAATAATGGATCAAACAAGAGACAGGTTTTATCAATTTTATTTAACCAATGAAATTCCTACTGATAACAATGAAAGTAATTTCAGCAAGTATAAATGCGATACAGTTTTAAACAAACCCCATTGTTCCGTACCTATAAATAGAATTTTCAAAACCTCATAAAAAGTGCAGATTTATGAATTGCTGTTAAAATGTTAATACATGATTCCTTTGTTTAAAAATGCATTTTTGTCTCTTAACTCACAAAAAAATTCCTTCTGCATCTGTTCAGATAAATTCAAGTTGGGTAACTTAAAAATAAAAAAAAGTCACACAAAAAAATGGATCCCACTAGGTCAGTCTGTCCTCCGCCAAAAAAAAAAAAAGAAAAAGAAAAAGAAAAAGAAAAAAATATAAAAGGAAAAAAAAAGAAACAAAAGGTACAAGCTGCGGTGAAATCCCACGGTTAACTCCTAGCGGCTGACTTATCTAGCAGGCAAACCACCTGCAAAAGCACAGGACCCTGTAAGACCCCACTGGAGCTGCAGGCATGTGGTGGCCTGAGAGGCGATACAAGTAAAGTGCCCCTAACTCCCTGTGCTGGCTATCATCTCATAGGTAGCAACGCGATAGGCAACGTGGGACCTTCAGAGCGATTACACTTCCCCCACTTCACTGATGGTGGTGGGAGAGAGCAGCAGGATCAGAGCTTTGTCATTAATCCTCCATCCCAGAATGCCCATGCAGTTGTGGCAACACAAAGCAAGAAGCTCACAGCTGCAAGGCAGGGACTTGGTACAATTTACTCCCTCTCCAGAAGATGAGAGGTGAGAGTTGCAATTGGATACAAAACAATTTCCCTCCTGGGATGATCAACAAATCACTGCCCTTTACTCCAGACAGATCCTTATAGCACTATCCAGCCTTACGTTAACAAGGCTTAGACTCACAACCATCTTTGGAGAAGTTATGTCAACTGGGAGCAAACACTGCTTTTTACCCCTCACAAGCAAGGCTTTTTAGATATCAAATTAAATGCTAATTTTTGTACTTAAGAGAGGCTTGGAGTCTATTGGCTGCAGAAGTACTGTGCCCAAGTTTTCCGTCACGCAGGCCAGTCCAAGGGCTGGGCCATATGTCCACTTCCACTCTATCCAATGCTTACATGAAACCCAGGCTGCACATGCACTGACCGTGTCACTGAACTGCAGAGGGCAACATATGGCTCACTTGCACGCAAGAAGGGTTAAAATATACTTTAAGCCATGGCCTTCACAGCAGTTGGGTCCAAATGTGACCAAACGCATTGCAGTCTTCCTGCTTGGACCTTACACATCTTACCATACTTTTCCCAGAAAGGGGCTCAGCACATCCACAGTCTAGAGAGGTCTCCCTACATTGCCAGTAATCCTCCCCATATATACAGTGGTATTTTATCTACAGCAGGGTCTGTTTAGCAAGAGCAGTTTAAAGTGGCTATGTTTATCAAGTTTGCTACTTTATGAATTAAAAAAAAAAAAAACACAACCCAACAACTATAAATACACAGACTCTCACACATCAGACATTTGCAGCCTGTGTGAATCATAAACCGCATCAATATTCTGTCAAAAAGCTTATTCTACTTAAAACTATACATAGTACAAGAGATTGAAAAGTGGCAGTCATGTAAGGTCACACTGTCTGCCTCAGGTTGGCCCACAGTCACCTGCTTCATATAAATCAAAGTGTTTACAGTAACAAAGCACAGGACTGCAAAGCCTATCACAGCTTCTGATTACACTGGATACAAAGTACCAAAGAAAACACAAAAAAGAACTGGTGTTAATACTGATGAATTAAAGAGTAACTATAAGGATCAAAACAGACGTTCACAGCATGCTACATATATTGCTCACAAACTTAAAAAAAAAAGGCTAATACAAAACAAGAAGTTGGCAGTCGGAGTTTCAGTTATGTCAGATAAAAAGATAAAGCATATACATTCATTATGTAGCTTTCCAGCAAAAAGAGAAAGGGTAAAACTGAGAGATTTCAAGTTTACAAAATTCCTATTTTTTAAGCTACAGTTTATATCCAGTTCCGGTCATAATCATGAAATACTTGTGACTACATTTCCCCACAGAGTCCAAAGACTGCAGCCTAATTTTTTTTAAAGGAAAATTTCCTTGCCTTAGACGTTCGAGCAGCTGGATCTCCTGTCAATACTAGCAGATCGTTTCTAGTAGCCACCCACTCATGTAGCATGCGAATTGGGAGGCAAGTAAAAAGGAAGGCCAGGTTTAAATCTGGTGGCACAACATGAGCATGAAGTGGCAAGTGAGAAACAGTGGATCAAGTTTGAGACTGTGTGTGTTTGGATCAACTGCTGTCATTGTCTCCCAGACCATGAGCTGGAGACACACTGGTAATTCATCTATTTTGTTTTAAAACTCCCTTCAAAGAGTTGATGGAGGTGAGAAAACGCAGTTCAACAGCAGCGTGTTTTACTCAGCCAAAAATGAAATGTTACACTTGCCCTTCTACACCAACAGAATAATAAAAGGGAAAGGTTTTCCACAGCAGCTCGGAGTCTCATCTTTCATTATACAGAAACTCACCGGAAATCTTGCAAGAAGGTATTTTTCTCCTGTCTCTCGCATACACAGAAATACAGAAGAACCTTTTGGACATGTTAGTAAAGCTACTTTAATGGTCAAAAATGTTGATCTCCCCTGATGCTGCTTGTGTCCCCTGTTATTTTTATTTTCAGATGCTTACAGTGTAAGTTGTTGCCTGCCTAAGCCCACATTTAGTCTATTCACTGGCGTCTTAAATACTGACTCTAACTACTGTCAAGAACAAGGGCAGAACTCAGATTCTGTTTTCATTAAAATTCATGAGTCTTACAGTATTACGTGTGAGTAGGAACGCGAAAACGTGGCTATGTCTCAAGCAAACACTACATAAATTTTGCATTTGGATTTATCTCATAAACACAAAACCCAAACCAGTTTGTTCTAAAGGCCATTTGCAGTCTGTCCCACTGTGAGGAGTCTGAGGAACAGTCCAGACGAACAAGCCCATTAACATCCACTTTACTACCATCCACTCTACAAAAGAATACCTCAAAATTCCCTGTGAGAAATCCCTAAAAGAAACTTGCATGGCTAAAAAGCTCTCAAGCAAGGGGAATTTTGCCAAAGAAAGCATTTTCTTAGTGGATTCACTGGATTTTTATTGTAATTCCAGAGATGGAATCTGATACGCCACTAGCAAGTACTACTTAAATATCCTAAGTACGTACTAAGTACCATACTTTCAAACAAGATTTAGAATTTTCCTGTCCAGAAACAACTTAATACTGGAATTAAGTGTTTCTGAACATAAGAAAGATCCTATGAACTCAATAAAGAATGGTAACATGGGAACTTTAAGTTATTTTATGAGGTTAAGGCTAGGAGGTTGTCTCTCAAAGATTATTAGGGTTTGAGAGTTAGAAAAACAGGAAGCACTTGATGCAGGGAGTAGTGGTAGTGGCAGTGTAACATGACAAATTGTGCCTCTCGTGAGAAGAGAAAACGTCTGCAGGGGAGACCTGATGTGTGTTGGGGGAGCAGCAGCACGACCACAGGTCAAGAAAACTTGCTCTATGAAATAAATCAACAGTGTTCAAGATGGTCCTAACTTTTCCTCATACTACTGCGTTCTTTCCATCTTCCACACCTGTGATCTATGCAGTAGGTAAGAATGACAAATTAATTTTCAGTTGGGGATAAAAAGCTTCATTTACCCTTTCCAAATGTGAAGAAGCTAGCGGATGCATCTCTTTAGACACATATATATATATGCTGGGGGACATTAGGAAGGATAAATCTGAAGTTCAGATTGTGAAAATTGACTTTTTTGTCCAGCTCATGGATTGATTGCTAAAGGCAAACCAATTTTAATAGCTTTATATTCAGAGCAGTTCTGGGAAAATTCATCTACAAAGAAATTCCCCACCCCCTATCTTCTGCAACTTCACCCCTTATTTATGAGAAAAGAATCTGAACCTCTAAGGAAAGCAACTGAAAGTACATCAGTCGAAATCAAGAAGATGTGGAATATATCCTTCTGGCCAAAAATTTTAAGACCCAGCACAAACTCCACACTTGCTGATGCCAATAAATCTTTTCTCCAAGCAGAGGTTAAATAATTCAGTTCTAAAACAGAGTCCAAACTCTTGAATGTGAGCCTGAAATGCACGTCTTCATGAAAAACACACACGCATGAGAAACACTGAGAACCTGTTCTGCAAGAGTAGCAGCTTACAGATTAACTTCTTTTGGAAAGATTTTTCTAATTATATATTAAGGCCTCAAAATAACTTATTTCATTAATAATTGCAGCAAATCTGCAAAACATGTATCTGCTTCATATTATTCCTTTAATCTCTATGGAAACTGATTCTATTCTCTTGAATTTAGATGATTAAGTATCTTTAAAAATATGACTCAAAATGCAAGCGAGTACCTGATAGGATTTTGCTAAGTGCCTAGGTGCTCCCTTTGAAATTCAGGCAACTAGCTGCTTTTCCAAATCCCATTAAACCATCTATCAGCACTGCTATGAACAAAAATACTTTGAAGAATATGGTGCTTTGACCTTTCATGAAGCAACGGAGAAGCAAAATGTTTTCCTTTCTGTTCAGTTCTAATCCATTATAAATTTATGGAGAGACCTAAATTATAACTATTTATAATCACTGATTTCCCCTGTCCCTAAAGTGTTTTTTTTTTAAAAGGGCTGATAGCGGCAATTCTTTCATTTTTCAAGTCTGAAGTACATTCTTCTCATTTTAATGAAGGCTTTAGGACAAAGCATACATGCTTCAGCTCAGTCTTGATGAACTGTTAAGAAGAAATCCTTCTATGGTTCAACAGAATTCTGATACGACACCACAGGGCTAGTTTTAATAGCTATTTGCACAAACTGTACCTTAGTGTAAAATGGTTTCTGTACTTGTATGATGACACTCCTGTGATGTCCAGGTGCAGGCAGTGTGTTATGGAAAATGAAAATGCCTTCTCCAATTTGTAATTTTTTTCACTTCTCTTCATTACCAGAAAACCGCAGTGATTTCCAAGAGAGTGCACCCCATCAGAGCACACATTTTAGTGCGATTCTGCAAGGTTAGCAAGCTGTCCACGCTCACAAGCTCTGTTCCCTACTGACAGCATTTCCTGTGATAGCGAGTTCATTGATACCTAACAAGCTTTCTCTTCAGTAGACAGGAGACTGTACACTTTGTTTAAAACTGGTCATGGCTGGGATTTTGTGGACTAGTGCTGGTAAAGATGAATCTCAATAAAGGAACACAGAGGGAGAGTATCCAATGATTATGGTACTCTTAACAATAGTATTAATGAGCAAAGTGTGAGGATTCACATTCATGAGTGCTTTAACCCCCTCCCCCTCCCCCCCCCAAAATCCAAGAACACTTGCACATTAAAATTTGGCACGATGTGCACCTAAAGTGTGAGTAAAACATATGGTATAACTGTATGACTTTAAACACCTATTCTGAACAAACATCTATTAAAAATCATAATTTTGAGTATAAAAACTAGGCTATAAATTGTTACATCGTAAATGCAATACTTTGAAGAAAAAAAAAAGCCACCTGGAAAGCATTTTCAGAAGTTTCAAGTTTACATCGTCTATTAAAAAAAAAAAAAAAAGTTATAGCAAACTACTTGTAAAATGACATTTCCTATGATGGAATGTCTTGCAGGCCATATCTGACTCAATATGGCATCTTAAAAAAAATTACTGATTCACTACAAGTTTTATGAAGCAATCCATTTATGGTTTCTATATTTCAAATCTACTCATGTACTTTGCTCAGAAGGCATTTGAGCAGGCAAGTATATTTCATAAGGAAAGAAGTAAAGGCACTCATGTTTCCAAACATAAAACTCAACCTACTCTAAGAGTCTGCATTTCTGAAGGGAAACTAAGTGGTCATATTAGTTACCTAAATCTAGTTTCACCTCTTTTCCAAAGCTCAACTGTGCTTCTCGAGAACTACTTGACTTTTCGTAACAAAGGAATTTAAAGTAGCACTGTACAGTTCCCATCACTTAAAAAAAAAGCAAAACTATTGCATGAAAAGTTCTTTCAGCCGAACCGTTTTATGCACAAAAACTATTAAGCGTGGCCACTACAGTTACAATAGGGAGGAAAAAGGATTTTAAGAACTTAGAAAGTTAATCTAAGTTCATACGTATCAACATCTCAGTGCTTCTGAGAAATCTTATATAGCTAACTGCACAGATAAATAAATCTGATGTTTTATGCAAAGCTCCCTATAGAAGAGATTCTGATGCTGTCTGTTGGGTAGTTTTCTCAATAGCTAATGTTAAAGTTTGTAAAAAGTTACTGACTTCTTCCTCAGAAGTTTTTCATGCACAGAGTCTGCAGTCTCAAAGTGCAGAAAAAGTGTACAATCATTTAGTTTTCCAATCTGGAACAGACAGATAAAGTGAAAAAAAACAACATGCAAATTCACAGCAAGGTATCAGAAAAAGTAAAGAAGAGAGAAAACTAATTTTAGTAGTATACTGGTCCATGATTTTGTCAACGAAAAGTGTTAAGATATGGCTGATAATATTGTAATTTTAAAAAACTATTCTGCGACTGTCAATGGAAAAAAAATCCTATATCACCTTCTACAATTCAATAGAATATAAAAAATGAATCTATCCTGCTAGTTTTGAATGTATGTGAGAGAAAGAACGGTCACCCTCCTCAAAGTAAAACGAAAAGCCGAAACCAATAGACAAAAGCTTAAGCAGTGACAACTTGCATCCTCTTGGGTAAGTTTAAGCATCTCTTTAGGCACTTCACTGGTTCATTAAATGCAATACAAAATAAAGCTATAAATATCAACATTTTGTGCTCTTAAAAATTTGTCAGAAGTAACAGAAACAGCACAAAACTGTGACATTTTTGGCAGCTTATTTCTTCCCTTCCCCAATATTATTGGTTGTCCAAGAATGCTTTGTTTTGGGGATGCTTTGGCATCTCAGTATCAGGTTGTCTTAAGCCACAAAAGCTAAAAACAAAACTGCTAGGCCTTAGACAATAAAGAAATTTGGTTTCAAAATTTCTTTATGGCTATACGAAGAAGGACACTTTAGCAGTGACAGGACAGGGAAAAAAGCTTGCTTCTTTTTAAATATTGCACTTTTCATTTGTTCACTCACACTAATGCATAGAAACTTGTAAAACTTTGAATATTAAAATGTCATGCTATGAAAAAGTTATGGGAAATAAATTTCTATACATCCAATATGAAAGAACAGATATGCTAGCCTTCCTTTACTTTCCTTAGTTAAACATTGAGAAAGAAGAGAGTGCAAAAAACCACACAATCCTATTTTTGGTCAGTCTGAGTATCAACTTTACAGGTGCCAACTAAACAAATTGCAACATGTGATGAGCATGGATATTGTAAAGACAACTGAGGGTGACTGTCAGTAAAACAAGATTATGCATGATTGAAACACAGTAAGTTTAGCTGAAATGGTAAATTGTGAAGTCTCTTCTCTGGGGAAGAGACAAGATAAAACAGATGAATTTTGTACTTCAGTAGCATGCCGCAGAATTTATCATGATTAATTTCACATTAAAGTGTGGTCAATATTTGCATACACATTTCACATCACCTTCAATTGCTGTAGTAAGACAGTGACTGGCAAGCAGTCTCCAGGAGACACAGAAGAATCCAGTGGGCAATTCAATTTAACACAGCACATGCATCTCTATCAGAGTTATGACTCTGTGGTAAGTTCTCAGAACATTCAAAACAGATCTTCTGCTGGATTCCATTAATCTGAAAAATGATTGCTTGGAAAAGAAGTCTCTAAGCACTTTATTCCAGTGCTTAAAGAAGAAAGCGCTAAAAATGAGTATAATAAAAATAGTTTTAGGACTCTGACCTTTGTGCAGAAATCCAACCGGAAACAATGTAGAGTAGTGCTCCTCAGTGTTATTTTTGTTATCATTAGTAATGTTAAGCATCAAGAAAATAAAACACGTCATTGCACATTACAGCCGTCAAGAAGCACGGCTAAACTTTGACACTAGAGAATTGAATAACCTGATGCTACATCACAAACAGCTTCTGGCGTGTATCTATTTCAAAAGGTCTTTACATACTCAGTAAAAATTCCTTTACTCCCTCCCAGTGAATGCTTCAGGTTAAGTGACGAGTTATGGCACGAAGGGCGTACAGAAGTTCTGCTTGCATACGAGCTTCCATTAGAAGTAGATTTACGTGAACCTGTGAAAAATTAAATCAGCCATTTAGTTCGCCTTTGAATCCATCATCATTTATTCATGTAGGCTAAAATTTTTAACTTTTAGTAAATTATCACAGCAAGAAATAAGGTCTTTTCTTGCTACACTCTGCTGCAAGACTCCAAGTCCTTTTGGAATAGCTATCCAATATCAGACAACATTTTAGGATTCCGAGTAACTATCCTTAACTGCCACTTTAAACAACCTTCTATCTGAGAAGTCCCAATAAAGCAATTTTGTATCCTAATGGTACAAATTCTTAACGAATGGTATTTCTATTTTGTTTACTACCACCTACAACCACGACACTGCACAGTATAAGGAACAACAGTGCATCTGCCAGATACGCTAGAAGGCATACAAGCATTGAACTCCTGTTAGCAAGCATTTAACGCAGATATTCGTACACACGCTCACATTGTTTATTGATGAAAAACACCATGAAAACTATACCTATGAAATAAACTCTTTTTTGGTCCTAAAATTGAAAGTATTGGCATGGTTGACCATCTCTGCATTCCCAAGTTTATACACTATTCTATTTCAGATGTCAATTCAATTTTATGGAGAAGTCATTTAAAATAAAGAGAAGGAGCAACAACATTTCCAGTCTACTAGGAAGTATTTTTGTAAAACTGACATTTAACACTCACTGAATTAATCTTGTTTATTTATCTGGGTAAAAACAATTAGTTTGAGAGAGATAAACATTTTTAGGAGTCACTGTATTTTCATTTCTGAAATGCACTGGAGTCTCCATGAAGTCAGTTTAGCTATGAAATACGTACCTTCTCCGAGTGCTTGAACTGACGCCAGTAACTATCATACATGCGCTTGGTAGTTCTCTCTGGGTAGCAGGTCACTGTCTTTATGTAAACCTTCAGGCTGCGTTCAAGTAGCTGATTAACTTCTCCATAATCATAGTCATCATACCTAAACAACAGAGGCAATTACTCTGCTGGATATATGTCTTTAAAAATATAATTCTTTGCAGCATGTTAAAAGTTCCGCTATTGAAGCATTTAGTATATATGCTAAAACAGAGCCTGCTAACAGAGAATACAGGCTGGCCTCTGATAAGACATTTCTGTAATAACTTCTGTCTTGACTCATAATCATTTTCTTCACTGAAATCAAAAGCTATATGAATACTATACCAGCAAAACCACTCTAACTTGCAGACTGAGGTATCATATCCACTTTAACATCTGGATTCTGAAGTAATGCTTTCCACGTGGTTAATTTTTCATTCTGTGTGTACACATTTTAAAATGCACTCCTTAGCCAGCGCATTTTGCTCCATACCTGATTCCATACATACAGTGGACATAGTTAAATAAAGCTCTTCTCAGCATAGTTGTATCAACATCTTCATGTGTTGCCATAGTGTTGTATGTGAGGTTATAGACCATCCGAAACTTCTCATCGAGGAGATGCCCAATATCAGAATAAAGCCTATTTACAAGGGAAAAGCCATGATTTTCCCAAGTATAGTCCTGCAGGAGCAGAAAGAAATATATAAATATATAAGCAAAGGGAAGTCCTTATTTGGTCCTCTCTACAGTTTAATAGTTTCTGCTGTCTGTTAGTTAAAATTTTGTTCTCTCCAAAAAAACGTCCATTTTGAATCCTCCATCCATATCACCTGCTCCATTTCCCCAGGCTTTCTGGCAATAAACATCACTTTGCTGCACCTCACTTTCAGTTTGGATACCATTAGCCTACAGGATATACGTGGAGAAAAAAACCCACCTTCCTTCTTGAGGTGTTGAGGCAACTTGCCACTGTCTGCTGTGCCGCTCTGATCAGTGTCATTCTGACTGAGATGGGCCTGTAAGTTTAAAAACTTATTCTTCTTGCAGGCTTTGACACTTAGCTCCGAGCAGAGGTGTATCATTTACTTCCACCCAGAATGCACAATCATTGGGTAAATTGCTGAAAAGTCCTGGAATAATGTATTAAAATTCAGGTTGCCTTGGTCTTAGGCAAGCACCTGGATTGCAAGGGTAGAACCAAGCTTGCTCACATGAGGAAAGTGAATTCTCTGAAAAGCAGCGGCACAGCATCAACAGCAGAGGAGAATTATCCTGCTTCAGAACAGTGTATAACCACTCTACATGCTGCGGTTATAGAGAACACGTTAGTTTGCCCACATCCTTGGCAAGTGTTCAGTCACTCAATCATATGCCCTCTTTACAGCTAAGGGCATCATCTCCACTTCCTGCTGTGTCTGGCTGTCTTCAAAGAGTACCGCTAAGCAAGGGCCCTTGTAGATTCACGTTAGAGCACATCTATTCAACTGAACCCCTGATTGGGACAGAGGGGAGAGTATGTACGACAATATTGAGCTGCCTAAACAAAAGCGTTCGGTGTCATCTGAAATGCCTCACAAAATCATGTTTGGCCTCCAGCTGCCAGTCCAGAAGGCCGTGAGACTTGAGACATCTTCCATATCTACCAGCCCTACACAGATGTCTAGAACACCCTACAGCATCACGACGACATTCACTCAACTGAATTGAGCTTCTTGTGTGGAAGCCTCAGGGGATTTCTAACATGTGGATCTTATTATGCAAGCTGCCCAGAGTAGACATGACCTAGGTCAGATCAGAAACAGGATTTCAGGTCCCCAAAACATAAATCGTGAAGTTGCCAGGAGCCACGCTGCAGTGCCAAGTATGTGGCAGGTTCTGAGGATCATATATACGTATATATATTTTTAATTTGACACCTTCATCTGAGAAGTTGCTTCATGGCATTGTATCATGGTTCTCAAATGCTGGTGGACCGGAGCAGGTGAATTTTTTTGTTTGTTTCAAGTAGAAAAATTACTAACTAGGACTTTTTAGGGTATGATCCTCTGAAAACCAGAAGCCCCAGGAGGGGTAAGCACCATTTACTAACAGCAGTTGATCCATACTAACCACAAAAAAGGAACAAGATTTTTTTAAATTCTGCTGTGTGCTGAATACCTTTTTCTATTACTGAATTTAAAACCACAGAGATAAAGACGGTTTATCGAGAATAATGACCGGATTTATTAGAGGGTTTTGGGATGCTATTGTAATTTGAATAGCGTTAATAGAGCATTTGGGAGCCTGCAGGTGTATACATCTAACTGCTTGAAAGCAGGACATACTAATAAAGTTAAATTATCAAGGTGACTCCTTTGAAAGTAGGCCAGAAGCTGTCCTGTGTATTTAAGTGCAGAGACATTTTAGTTCCAGTTTCAACTTCTGTAGAGCTTTTTTCCATAAGAGCCTGCTGTTCTCAAGTAGTTAAGCAGTATATTTGATTTATAGGCACTGACTGTGCCTTACTTTTTTGGCAATATCCACCTACGTTAGGCTCATACAAAGACCGCAGAATAAATCATCCAGATCAGCAAAGTCTGCTATATAGCTAAATACATTTCCTGAAAGTGATCATGGGTTCTTTATTCTTCAGTCTGAGATAAATCTTCTGGTCACGGAGTTTTCCTGAACCTACTTTTTTTTTCCTGGAAGTTTTCTGATTTGGTGCAAGATTTCTTCCACTACCTGCAATTTATTACTAGACTGCTGATTAATCTATTCTACAACCTGGAACAGGACCACCTAGAACCTGCCTGCTATTATTTATATTAAGAAGATGTTTATGAGTCTAGCCATGGTTAGAAGTCCCAATATGTTGGACAATATACAGACAAAAGGGCAGTTCTTTCAAGGGCACTATAAAAAAAAATCACATATAGCCAAACATTTCAGTGCTGCAGTAATCCTATTCAAGTATTCGTTTTCTTTCGTGCATTCGTTTTCTGATTTGGTGCATATATGAAAACAACACTCACCAAATCACTCTCACAAACAAAAATACAGCCATTTATTGATAACCACTGGGCAAGGAATACTTGAAAACGTGTTAGAAATGAAGCGTTATTCAAGCAGAATTTTTCTATATTTGGAGGAAAGGAAAAGAAATTCTTCCTTTCCTCTCCTTCACTTGTATTCCAGATCTACTGATAATCTATACAGTCTTCACACACTAATTCCTTTAATATTTGAAGTAAGACTGAAAGTTAAATATTTCCTTGTCTGTCCACAAATGGCAGAAGACTCCTCTCTCATAAATTTGTAGAAGCCTGCATGCTATTTAATGGACCGTGGCAAAAAACACAGCATGCGACAAACGTGTTCCACTACAACTACTTTACGCTATTTGTCCAGTAAGGAAATAGGTATTATTATTTGAGCGAAGATACTTTAAAAAAACACTACCTGAGCTCTGAATGTTGGCAGATGCTCTTCTCCTCGCCTTGCAAAGTCTTTGTACCCAAACCCAGGATCTTCAATATAGCGGGAGACATCCGTAGAAACTATTTCATCATCAAATGCTGTAAAAAAACAGTGAAGTCAGCACTAATACTACCACTCTACTAAAGGACTAGAGAACGATTTTAAGAGTTTTCTAAAGGAAGAGAATGGAATGAAAGAAGGAAAAATTTCACTTCATCTGCATTCCGCTTAGCCCATCTGCTTGTATGGGATTCATCCTTTCCATCGAGCCACCAAAATGTCAGCCTAAAGCAGACATCTAAGATCCTTCCAGGAAATGTGGAGACAAGGGCTGAACTACTATCTGCAGATATGCTTTTCTCTCTGTTAACTTCTGAGGGAGGCTAGATATCTTAAATTAGGCAAGATGCATCCCATCTTGGGATGGAGCCATGCATCATGGCTTAGTAAAGCCATTATACTAGGGTGAGAAACAGAAGAACATACACTCAACAACCAGATTGCTATGTCGAGCACGTATGGTGCCAGGAAATACACCAGCTCTACTCTATAACCCACAACATAAGTCACTAGAAAGCAATGCAACACTCCAGTTGCAAATATCATTTGAAGATTATATAAAAGCAAAGCACTCGACAGTACATCAGGCTGAAACTCCGCCAGAAGCTCTAGTAACTAAGCATCTTCAAAGAGCTTCAAAACGTGTCACCAAGCAAGTGCAGGTTCTCTATCAGGAATCAGTCCTTCCCTCCTGAATAAACAGGTGGCTTGTTTGTGCAACTACCTTTGCAGGAGTTGACTATGGTATAGCTGACTGCATTTGACCCTCATGTTAATATCCTGGCTTGCTTCCACATGCACTGACAGAACAGTTGCCATATGTCCTCTCTTAGCACCTTAAAAAGTCAGTTAATCTAAGAATTGCAGAAGTGCTTATCTCCTCTTTGCTTCATTAAACAATCAAAATATAACTGTGTAGGAAGAAGCTTGCACAGCAGCTGCTACAGCTAATTCCCAGTGAAGAATAAAAAATCTGCAGTCATACGGGGAGGGAAGGGAGGAAAGTAAACAAAACTACCAGCAACCCCTTCGAGAAATCTTCCTGTCCCAAAGAACACCTCATCCTAACAAGCTGGAAGTTGCAGAGACTCATGGAAGTCCTAGTTTGATAATGAAACTGTAGTGGTTATTAGTTTGTCTACACTATCTCAAGACCACCTGACCATAGAAAAATTGAATGAGAACGGACAATGTCCATTTAAAAAAAAAAAAAAAAAAAAAAAGCAATGATGATTTTGAATGTATTTCCTTTCAGAAATTTTGAGTATTCTTAGACAGCCACAGAATTTCTCCAACGATTCACGGTACATTCTTTCTCCCTTTTGGGCTCAGCGCACAGAAACTTAAATACCTTCAAATATGCTTGGTCTGGCTTGTATTCTGAACAACTAGACATGATTAACTACTAGTTTGTATTTTCAGCTTTCTTCCCAAATTCTCTCTGAAGCTATTGAGACCTAAATTCACAAAGCAGCATTCTGGGAAAATGTAGGGCATTTTACAGGTCACTTTTTAAAAAGACGTAAGCTACAGTCTTCAGGTAGCCTCTCATATGAGGAGATGGCTGGAGATTCTGATTGTCTTCATCACATTGTTTCTTCTAAGACATTTTTTGGAAGAAAAAAAATCCTATGGTTTATATGAAACAGATTTCATCGTATGGTTTGTTAGAGATGAAAACCTTCGGAACATAAATTTAAAGGAAAAGAGGCTTTCAGCTCCTAATTTTGAACAATACTTAAGAATAAAATGAATGCTAAGGAATCTCTATTATAATACAGGAAACAGAAACAGCATAGCAGAATGATTACTCAAAAACAGTCATTTTGAGATGTCCTTTCCAGAGGGGGGAGTAATTCAAACAGTAAAAAATCAGGTCTCATTGCATTAGTGTAGAGTTCTTCGTTATCGGTCTATCCCAATCTATTTTCTGAACTAAGCATCACATCTGAAGGCTACCTATGAGTGACATAAATCTTCTAAGCATTGCAGAATGTAAAATTGTGAGGTATTATCGAACGTTTACACAAAGGAATTAATTTGAAGAGCACACAAAGAAATAGAAATTTACACCCAATTTCAAGAAGCCAACGGGATTCTTTTCCAAATAAAAAAGCTAAATTTCAACTAGCAACAATGGTGGCAACATTTGCCAATGAAGAAATCTTAAGCAGATGAACTAAGTCACAGGACCATCCTTGCTAAAGCAAGAACCAGAATAAAGAAACTGATAGGAAGAGCTGTAATCATTGAACTGAACTCAAGTGTTTGGTGCTTACAAAGCACAAACTGGAAAAGTACAAATACCTCCACTGATTACTAGCAGACTCTCCTTCTTTTCTTTTTCAAAGCGAGTTGCCATCTCTTCCTGAGAGGCTTCTTCATCCTCTTTATCTTCTTGCAGCCTCTTCATCCTTTCCATTAAGGCCTCCAGCTCACTTAAAGAATCTGCAATCTGCAAAAACACCATGACATTCTGGAAAATTAGAAGATAGACAACATGTGTCGTCTTCAGATTTCATGCTCTACAGTAAATGCTCTCGAAAAAAGCTATCAATCAGCAGCAAACATGAAAATCCAAGCCAGAATGCTTTTTGTCACATATAAGACAGACAAACAGCTTTCAGAAAGTCAGAAGAAGGGAGCGGGTAAGTTTTGCTTTGATCTATCAAAGCATTCCACTGCAATAAGATTAATAGTGAAAGAGGTGATGTTTCAACGTGGAAATCATAGTTGCTTATAACATATATCCTACCACATAGACGGCTCAGAGAAAGCCACCTATGTGCGCCACATGTATCAGAAAACAACTTTCAACAATAAGATAACTTTTCTCAATCAACTGGCAATGCAAAATATCTTACCGAAGAGATACAGTGTAACCCTGCAACACAGAAACACAACCTGAGACAGCAAATAAATACTCTTTTTGTTTACTTTTTGTTATGTTTTTCTGTGCACTCAAAACAACTTTTCCATGGACCTTTTTCTTCCTTTTGTGCCTCTTCACTAGAACATATCAAAATATATCACATATATCAAAGGCATTCTGTGGCACTCTGTGATCTGCCCTGATCATTCAGATTTTTCGTAAGATAAATTGCTTGGTCTTTCTTTTCCAACTTTTTCTTTTGATTCTGATCATCTGCCCACAGCTAAAAATATTTTATATCATGTTATTTACTGCTTAATAATAAGCAGCACACAGTCAGAAGAAGCCCTTAGCTCACTACAAATGCATAATAAGAAATACTGGTGATTTAAGCTAGCCTGCCTTACATCATAGAAGTGACTGATCACTTGCTCACGTTGTAAGCTTAGTGCTAATTTTAAAAATCTATCCAGTGACTTGCCTCATAATCCTTATCTTCCATCAAAGGAGATGAGGTTAATTCAGCAATCAGTAGTTTAATTCAAGGACTCTTCTTAAAAGCACTATAAAGCCACTTTCAGGGAAAATTTCCATATTTAAATTAATTAACTGGGAATCAAATTTCTCTTTTGGTTGATTCAAGACCAGAATACTAGTGTGAAGAATAAGATTATTTTATTTCAGACCTTTTCCTGTCATCTACAAGGAACTGTTTCAAGATTGACATGTTTTGAGATCGCAGGCCTTGAAGTCAAAATCAGTATTATGACCTCTGGGTTTTTCCCTTCCCTTTTTTTTTTTTTTTTTCAGCCAGTTACACACTACCTGAACAAATTCAAACTTTCAGCTTTCAACTGGAAGCAAAGTTTTAGCCTTGCTCAATGGGTTGTGAGATTATCTGTTAAAATGACAATATTCTGACTACAAGTCTCTCTTTCAATGTGGTTTTGAAACAGATTATGTTGCAAACTGCTAGAGCTAACATAAGAGTTAGCAGACCCAGGCATTCCAGTAAAGCAGACAAAAAAACTTTCAAACTACACTGATATTTAAACAGGAAAGAATGGAAGGAAGCTTTCTAATGCAAAACAGAGGCAAGCAAAAGAATCTTCTTGCAACACTAACCCCAAAGTTGCTACTTGTGAGGGATGCATTTTCTATGTTGTTGTCATTGGCAAGATCACAGACACAGAAGTTGTTGACTGCTATAAGTCTGACTCCATTAGATGTATCCGGATCCCTCTCTGGATTAATGCCACTACCAAATACAAAACTTGCCAAGGCATGATAATGTGCCAACAGGACAACAGCATGCACCAATTCAGGAAGAGACCAATTATTTTCTCCAGTCTTGACAAGTTTCTGAAACGAGAATAAAAAAAGTGTAAATATAAAATTTCTTTTGGCCCTTAGGTTTGCATGAGTCTTACACATATGTCAAAAAGGGAACGACTCCTTTTTTCCAATAATACCATATTTCTCTTGCACACAAATTCTCAGAAAAGAGAGACCTAATATATTACTGCTTTTCTATTGGTGCTATTCTACTCAATGCTATTCCTAAAAAATAAACTTTGTTAGCTTTATCACGTAGAAGGCTTTCTTGGATTATTCAATACTCCAGTACTTCCCTGACTTCTTTAACTCAGGATAACGAAACCTAATCATACACTTGCATAGCTCTTAGCAGTTCTTATTATTGGACATTTACTGCTGTCACAATGGCATTATTTAACAGGTACCTGAATGTGCTCTTTTGTGATTAGCCAGGGTCGGTGTGCAAGGAGTTTGTTTATTTCATTCAGATTTTTCAGTCTTTGTGGAATGTATTCTAAACCATTCAACCATTCTGCAATTCCTCCAGTCTTCAAAAACTCATCAACGTGCATATTTATCAGGTAGGAACACTGATGTCTGGCAGCAGCCTAAAATAATTAAACACAGAGGCAAAAGGGCAGAATATTAGAGTATAATCTGACTTCACCGCAGGTGAAAAACAGGATACATACACAACATGAAAACACAATTTAGTTGCAAAAAGAGCCATGTTTTGGTTCGTGAAGCATTTCTAACCAGTACGGAGGGTTCTACAATTAAAAAAAAAGCTTGATTACTTTACTTTGAATCACCAAATCTAATTTAGGTTGCAATGGACCTCTTGGAGGTCATCTGGTCCAACCCCAACTCACAGTAGGGCCAGCTTAAACCAGGTTGTTCAGAACCTTGTCCAGACAAGATCTCCATCTTTGCCGACCCCACGTCTATCTTCACGGTAAAAACTGTTTTCCTAGTGTCTACCTGAAACTTGTAACTTGAGCCCGTTGCCTCTCATCCTATTGCTGTGCACTGAGTGTTATAATCACACCAGTAAGGTATCACAGCTTTAAGTGCTGTCCACAAAATCTCCGTTCTGTGGGCATGTGAGAAGTGTCTCACTGCGGGATACTAACATGAAAAGGCGTACTTTGCCAATTCTCTCTTCTCATTGAAAACCTTGTGGCTAGATATGCTTTACTCAGATGGAAATCAGCTTTAAAAAACATTCAGGCACAAACACCCCGTTTACCTAAAATACCACACCAGTCCCTCCTTTCTTAATTTTTTCATTTTTTCTGTTTTGTTTTTTAAATGAGAAAGTCAAGGTGACAGAAGAAAATGTATAGCTTGTTGGTATATACCATTATAGCAATGTAGTGCCTATAGGGCAAAGGAAGGGGCCCATCCATGCGCAACATATAGAACTGGCTGCGGAGGAAAGATTCCAGGTACTGAGTATGGATACTCATGACCTGCGTGATGTTGTCCAGGCGACCAGATGTAGAGTATTCTTCCACAAGAAGATTAGTACGTTCATCCAAACCATTTGCTTGCATAACCTTAAAAATAAGATGGAGAAACTTAACTGAGAAAGAGGTTTTCTCCAGCTTTAGCCCTGGACAGAAACATATTGCAATATGAAAAGTTTGCTTTTGTACAAACTTGCAGCCAGTTCTGCAGATCTGGATGCATACATGTAAAGATTTATGCATGCACGTGTGTGAATATACACATACAAATGCCACTTGTGTACTGAGAACTGATGAACACTGCACACTTGTTATGTTAATACACTCCTATGAAAACTAAGAACATTTTTCTGTAGATCTTTCTAAAAAGGTTAAACTCAGACACTTGAAGTCAAATCTTTAAGAAGACCTAGAAGGAAGCAGAAGTCAAATGGAAAGACTTTACGGAAGTCCACTGACTTCCAGTCTTTATGGAAGTCAGTCTGTACAGACACACTCCACCAGAGCACTCAGCCCTACAACAGACTTCAAAATTAATGGAGCGGGACTAGGTCACGTAATCAAATTATAGAAACAGTCTAGCAATCGACTGCTTCTGTGTTTGTATAAGAAGAGGAGATCAAATGCTAATTTGCCCATAACATTCAAGTATTATTTAGAATAGGAATTTAATGCTTTCTTTAAACAACAGCTGCTCTTTAATTATTCCAACCAACCGGACCTCGGGCACAAGATGAAATGCAATAGTAAAAGAGTAAGTAACTCTTGAATTGCAAGTTCTGACACAGTATTGGTGCTATTGCTCAGTGTTTATCAGCAAGAACAGCCAATTGAAGTACGTTCATCATTAAAGTTACAAGCAAAAGACTAGAATACCCAGTAGTTATTCTTAAACTGCCCAGTATCAGACCAGCAAGCACTATGAAATGGGAAACCATTCAGCTAGTTTAGTGCACATGAAGCTAGAAAGTGCTTGAAACGATCAAAACACTATTCTTTTGTTGAATTTGATTCTATTTAAAGTACATTATTCTTCCTCATGATGGGCTAATGAACAGATTGTATCTCAAATATTTTTTAATCAAGTTTTATGTTAAAGTTTATATATAAAGTAACATGAACAAGTGACTGCATTTTCATTTCTCACTACTGTACTTCCCTGCTTTAACTTGTGGGGCCACAAAGAAAGGGAAGAAGCACAACTAGCCAGTTAAGCAGCCCCATAATTTTTACATGTATAGCTCTTCCATACAACATCTTTTCCATGTTTTATACCAAAAAGATGCCTCTTCAGTTATCATTAAGACTACTTTTACCACCAGAAACTTATCCACACATTAGAGATCAAGCCTATATATTATGGCATATCACTCACTCCACTGTAAGTAATGCCCCTTATTCTTCAGCAAGTGCATCCTCCCAGCCATTTCAGAGATTTTTGTCTCATTTACTAATTTCTTAGGGAAACTACATTTCAGTTCTGCTACTGCTCTGGTAAGATTTCTGATTTCTCCGGTTTGTCAGGAGCTTTCCTTGTAACTTAGTACAAGTTATAGAGAAGAAATTATGCTGACAAAGTTGAAATACAATCCTGTAGAACTGCATGGTTGCTATGTTAGGCACAGCAACATGCAGCACTATTCCTTCTGAAATTTCTCCACTTATATTAGTATTTTCTTCATGCTGTATGTGTACCTCCTCCTGATTTATCACCATCCATGGATTCACAAGCATGCTTTTTAATTCTCCTGGTAAAGCCTTATGACACCTTAACAGAAACCTTTACAATTAAGTTGTTATTACTCTGTCCATATCAAAATCTTTCCGTTATTAAAATAGAGTAGGCTTTGATAAGAGCAATGTTATGTTATTACCTTATCAAGATTTGTGAGACATTAAATGTGTTACTAATTTACAATTACATCCTGTCTATCAACTGTATTGTTTAACGGCCAAGGAACAGGGGAAAAAAACTAGTCATTTGCTTAACAAACAGTATTCAACGCTTATTCTTGGTATCAGATAGCTGTTTCATCAACACAGCTAGAGGTTCCATTTTTCTACTGGGGCAGCTACTGGGCTTACTGCTTTCTAAAGGCCATACAGCGCTTTCCTTCTGCATCCTCAGCTGCCACCAATTACCAAGCGTATCATTTGTGCAGTAAATTCATTAACAATTCTCTCAAAACCTTATACACAATCTTTCTCATTACATTTATTTTTCTGCTCTTTACACAATTCTCATCTTAATGAGAAAATTTAAGTCATTATGCAGTTTGGCATCTCAGGTACATATTTCACAAAGTAAGGGAAGTCCTTTTCACAAGTTCAGCTAGCTGGAACTCATTCTTTTCCTCCACCCCTCTTCCCAAGTCTAGAAGACTCATTTTAAACTCTGCCCCTTTTTGCTTATGTTTTGCTTATGTTTTCTTGTTTCCAGGCTTTACACTTGTCCTGTTTTTAGGTTCAAAATTTCCCTATGTAGAAATGGAGAGAGAGATTCAGAGAACAGCAAATACCTTTTGTCTTTCAAAAATTTCTTTTTGGCCCTGTTGTTCTAGCACATGAATCGTCTGGCTTTAGCAACTACCCAAAAGCAGAACAGAAAAAGGACCTGTTTTTATAGTCTGCAACCCCAAATAATTCATCAGTAAATGATACTCTGTAGAGATTACTATCATGGGAAAAGAACGAGGCTGCAGGAAAGTTTCTATTTACTGTAGCAAGCTGCAAATCAAGGTTTAAATTGAACATTAAATCATACACAGAAATCTTGAGTTTGAAGTCAGACTGTACCTTTCAACCATAAATTCTCTTAAGAGCCACAGATGTGATCTATGAAGTCAGCCATATTTTCAGGTTCTCTCAAACTGAAGGTCAGACGCTGCTCTGAGAGTTATATAATCATAATGCTGTAATACTGGATAGGCCTCCCCGTAGGCCTGACATTAAGAGTAATAACTGATCACCCTCAATCAAAAGAGCACACGCAGCATGTGTGTGTGTCTCAGGGGAGCGCTGACAACGGAGAGTAAGTCAAATAGTACCACTTGTATGAAAGGACAGGCTCGCTCTCAGCCCCGGGAGCCTGCTCCTGCTAAACCGTCCCTTTTGCTCACAACGGGACTCATTCGGGGACCGTTCTGGGCAAAAAGGCTCCATCATCAGACTATCCTTCAGCATTTCCTTGCTAAAAACTACCGCACACCCAGCCCAGCTAACTGCACACTTACTTCGTTCTCTGGTATAAAGGCACTTGGTCCTCTTGTTAAAGGTGGAGAGACTTGCACTCTTTTTTCCTGCAAAACAGTCACGTAATTCTATCAGCATCAAGAATAACATATTAACTTGCTTTATCTTACCAGATTAGATCTGAAAGGCCTTGACTTAGTAGTTCTCTTCACAAGGCCACCTGCATGTTTTACAGCTCACTGAGCAGGTGAGGCTATCACACCACATTAGTTAGATTAGTTTAGCGTTCCCCATCTTTTGCTCTAATGAATTGCATGAATTTTGGCAAGATAAAAAAAAAAAAGATCTTATTGTGATTGCTTTATAGACCAGGTTGATGGTACGTAAGCAATAGCAATCAAAAATTTGCCACCAGGCTGAAATTAGCAATTTACTGGATTGAACAAAAGTACTGAGAGCAAAGAGGAGAAAAAAAGATCTATCACTATATGTGCAAAGGCCACACTCGGGAAATGAAATCAAGAAGCAGCTTTCTTTAGTATCACAATCTAATTAGGTTCTAAGCGTGTGGAAGATTATAAGCACTTTATGTGCCAAATATTTGCATGAAAAGCACTCTCACTCCCCCACCTCCCCCCAAAACAGCAAGAACCAATTAAAAACCTTGTTCTGGAAAAACAACAAAAAGACTATGTGTTTAGCTGTCAAGTCCAGAAGAGAACAAAACATGGGAGACAAGCCTCTGGGCACAAACTATAGCTAAAAGAAGAACCAGGGCCTAAAAGAAAGAAAGAAAAAAAAACTAAACTCCCTTTGATGATGATATATTTCGTATACAATAAGCAGACAGCAGGAACCAGGAGTAGAGGATTCTTTAATTTATTAGAAAAAAGAGACTGAGCTAAGATAAACTCTGGAGGTCTTAATACAGTTGCCTCTCACGGAAAGAGGGCTGAAAGGGACCTTGAGAGGCTGTCTGGCTCTTTGACTCGCCCAAAGGCAAGATCAGCACTTTCTGCAGCATTCCCGACGAACGTCTGTCCAACCTGTTCTTAAAGACCTCACACGGCAGCAATTCCTCAGTTTCCCAGGTCACTTCGTTCAGTGACTAACTCCTCTGATCATTAGAAAGTCTTTCCTAACGTCTAACCTAAATCTCCCTCGCAGTAATATAAAACCGGCACCGCTTGTCTTTATTCTTTTTCTCTTTACAGTCGTATTCCACGCTCTGGGAAACTCTGGCTGCGCGTTTTCTGAAGTCACTAATTACACTGCAGTGCTAGTGACTTTTAATAAGTTATCCATCAGAAACCGTATCACATTTGCATACCAAATATTTCATGCCCTTAACATAAAAAGCCTAAGCTTTTCCATACCAATTGACCCTGAAATATCTCAATAATTCTACCAGAGGGGCTTAAGTTTAACAGCCATGTATACAAATAACTGCACTGCTCTGAGCGTGAGTGTGCCACAGACTTCCACTCAGGAAAATATGACACTAGAAAGACATAACTACTGTCCTACTTCTTCAAAAAACATCCTCTCCTTTCAAAATTAGTGTACGAGAAAACAGGCAAAAGTCAGCACAGATTATTCAGGAAAGATACCTCAAAACAAACTCTCACTTGACCGTTACATTTGTTACTTTGGAATAATTAGCTGTTAAAAGATGAAGAATGTACTCATGCGTGTTTTACTCATTTTCTAAAATAATCTGAATCCATTGTGTGAAATCAAGTAGTCAGAAGTTGACTTACAGTAACAACTGCCTACTGTCACAGTCCTACAATACTATAAAATACATCTATACCTAATACTATAAAACACATAAAATCAAACGTATGCAATCTAAACTAAAGTATGGAGACTGGGCATATGCACATGCAACCTGTTTTTCATACAGCTACACAAGGCACAGGAAGATATCTCTTAACTTTAAACACAAATTTTTGCTAGCAGTAAGCTATTTTTGTCAACATCTAAAAAGAAGTTTTTCCAAGATTTCTATTAACATTTTATGTTACGTGTTTTATGAAGGTTATCTCAATAATAGATTTTTAAAACCTTCATTTCACGTTGAGTAATCTGGAGGAAACAGCTTGCGCGACTGAGACAACTTGGAGAGCTGCACGTCTTTGGCCTTTGGCTGAAGCTCAGGTCTAAAATAGAGCTGAACCACTGCTTTATCCATTTTGCTGTCTGACCTATATCCTGCTTTTTCAGGCTCTGTAAGCTGGTCAGCTAGGCTAGGCTGGGCAAAAAATTGCATATACTCTGTTTAGCAGGTTTTGGGCTTCATTGCCCACTTTCCCCATTCAACGTGACTGTTATTCCGTTGAACCTTAGACAGGCTACTGCTGAGAATGAATGGAGCTGAAAGAGTACTCGGGTAAATGAACGTATACAGGGTTCTCCAATTAATTTATGTGAACGCTAACAGAAAGTAAAGGAGATAGATAGTCAAAAGATGAAAAATGAGCTGAATTAAATATACTCCGTAAAGGACAAAACCTAGCTCCTGTTGGGTACTGGCAACTCTAAAAGAAAAAAATGAATTCTGAGGGGGAAAGAAAAAGATAATCTAAGCTAATGAGTTGAATCATGGTATGCTTTTAAGAAGTTTTTTTAACATATCTTTGGTGTACACACACACACACATAAACATATACAAATATATACATATATATTAGAAGGGTATACTCTTTCGTTCCCTCAACACAGAAGATTATTCTCCCTTCATGCCAAAGCATGTACTTTAGTAAAACTGGTTAAAACAAGCTTGTCAAAAGGACAGGAGCAAACACAATCTAGTTATACAAGTTCTCAGGCTACTATTAATAAAAACATGGGAAGTTTACAAACATTAAGTAAGATAACGTTGGCTTTCTCAGACTTTAGATAACAGCCACTGCTTCTGGGCACCCATTATCTAGAGCAGTGATTTAAGATCTACCCAGGAACTCAAATATGAAAAAATGCATGTGGGAATTGGATAGAAAGCAACATTTCAGATATATGGTCCTTCGTAACAAAAGTTCTTCTCGCAAAGCTTATTGTTTCCCAAGAAAGCTGATTCAATTTCCTGTCTGACTCGTCTTTACAGGTTAAGCTCGCTACTGCATGCTAAGTTAAGCAGGGTCCACAAATATCTTATTTGAAACTGTATTCTTATGCTAAGTGACTGAACCAAGAAAAAGGTTGCTCAGCAACCAAAACACCACATGCACATACATAAGCCATTTTCTGCTTCATGTTCCTCCATAAATACATTGTTGTTGAACGAATAAGTTATCTTAAAAGGTTTGCAATCAGCTCCATTTACATTAAAATTAGAGCCTTTGGGGGGTGCTTCTTTGAAAGGAGATAGACAGTGAAGAGCTTCAAAGAGAAGCAGAGAAAACAGAGTCAGGGAAGGGTTGCCCAGAGATGGGCCCAGAAAGTGACCTTTGCCGTAATGCAGCACCCTCAAGGCAGGACGGAGCTATGGCCCTACAGACCACAGAAGAGCCACTGCAAGCAGGCACAAAAAACAGATCTGGGTATATTTTCCCTGTGCCTTGCTTTCTGTCCTTCAGCTAAACTTCAAATAGTGTCGCAAGCCCAATATCGTGAATTTAACAATTGCAAAGCAGAACGATTTCCCCTTGGAGCGGCTAATTTGCACCATGCCGCAAGGAACATCTCCATCCTTGACAAGCCCTGCCAACGCGTCCCCGAGCCAAAAGTTGCGACATGCCATCTCCAAGTTTTATTTTTAGTTACAGCAGTGACTGTGCACCTTCTGTCAAGAGCCAGAGGAAGATGGTATCTGCATTTCAAAGAGCTGGCGGCCGGTGCCAGTAAAGGGAGGAAAGTCAGAAGCCCTTGGCTGGAAAAGTCATCGTGAATCACAACTGGAAGGTGGTCTCGCGAGCGGGAACAGCAAGCCCGAGCCGCCTCGCGGGGCGTCCCGCGAGCTTCCTCTCCAAAGCCTTCGGTGCAGAGAAATACAGCTTTCTTCCTCTTCTCGAGCACATGAGTCACTCTGTTCTGAGACTTTAAAAGAAACGGCTATTTTTAGCAAATGCTGTAAAAAGGAGGCTAATTTTATTTGAGGCAGAACAAAACGGAGCTGTTATCTGGTGGAGCGGATCAAACAGCTGGTTGAGAAAGGGCTTTAATACCCATGAATATGAAAAGCACAGGTGAGAAGAAAGCCGTTGCACTGATCCTTACGTATGGAGACTTCTCACTTAAGTAGGGTATAAAAGCGAATTCATCCTGAACTGGACGTCAAGATGGTCACGCTGTGACTTAAAAAAGAAAAAGAAAAAAAATCATAGGGAAACATTTGGTACCTCAAGAGCGAAATTTGTGAGCTGCAGCACATTCAGCTGCACGTCCCTTTACTCTACCTGAGCAGCGCAAATGGCGCACAAATATTGGTAATATGGCTCAGATTCATTACTTCAACTGAAATACAACCACAATGAAGATGTTAGTCTAATAAATAGCACTCAAATATAAATCCTAATAGCATCCCCAAATCAGCTTCTCCTCAGGAGCCACAGACACCTTTTAAAGTTTCTGTTTAATAAGAAAGAGGGTTTTTTTTGAAAAGTTATGAATGTGCGTTTCCTATTTATTATATTTACTTATTTTCTGTCCCCCCCACCCCCACCCCCACCCCACATACGCTATGGTAGCTTGGCCCTGTCAGGTTTTATTTCTGCCTTTACGCCATACTAGGCCTGAGGTTGTATTTCTCCACCTGATTTTTAGGATCCCCTCTGGCATCCAGGTAATCATTATTTATTAAAAATAATAATAAAATAATCATTAAAAGCTCTCCAATTTCCAAGAGTCAGTCTGCTGTTTCATATCCAGATTTCCTGACCTTCTCTTTTAGGCTTTCCCTCTGAGGTTTCCAAGGGATAAATACAATCCACCCTCGGTTTATTACCCTGTTTTTCTGTTGCTTTATGATACTTCTTCCTCAGATATTTCTACCTCTGCCAAGGCCATTCTCTGACCTTGCGTAGAAAGTACCTTTGGAATAGTAAAGTCTTTACAGTTTGCTATTGCGCTGAAGGACAAAGATTAAATTAAATCTCTATTAGTT